TACCTGTTTTATATGCGAGCACAACTTTCTTTGGGTCGGTGACATTTTCGCGAGGCTGACGACAAACTCATACTTTATATCTAAAAGCTCATTATATGAAGTGTGATACACTACGTTGAGATGAGAAGAATGTGTTTGCCTGATAAGAACTTTTCCACTGGCTAAAGTTAAAATTCTTAGTTTAAATTGAAACGACTAAAGAGTTGAATCATTCTCAAACATAGGCTAAAAATAGTAGCGATGCGATACCATATCGAATACTAATCGCTTTCGATGGCATGGGTCTGTAAGATGATCTTATTTTCACCGGTGAGATGTCTGCCAGGCTTGTGTATTTTTCTTCTATGATCTGGCAACTACACCATTGGTCCGATTCAACATGCACGCCACTAAATGTCTTTATAAGGAAACTTAAGGGCACAGAAGTGCGGTTTATCTGTTCCATAGGACGAAAACTTTTCCCGTACATTAGCCAAATCAGTCATTGGTATAAATACCGTATTCTTTCTTGAAAGTAAGTGGTGGAAGCTTTCCTTGCTAATTTTTACTTTTAAACCTCATTACTCAGCCGCCCAATGACATATGCATACTAATTTGATTTTAAAAATCTGCGCTCTTTGGATCAGGGATGTTCGACATCTTTGAGGACTGCCTAACTGCCACAGAAGAAAAATACTCGTTTGTTTTCTCTAGGTCTTTGATCAATATTTCGTAATGCACCTTAAATGACAAATACTTCTTCTTCTAGAGTATCTGAATGACCAGAGATTACCTTGAACCATGAACTAGTTTCGTTGAGTCTTACTGCTGTAATAACGGCCGTCCCGAGCAATTAGATCAAGCGAAGGGAAATTGCAAGATTGGATTTTTGGTGTATGAGAACATCAGGAAAAGCTACGTTTTCCCGATTGCGCGCTCTTTCTATGAATACTTAAACCCGTCCTTCATTTGGCCTCTGAAAAGTAAATTCTTTTAATACAACCATCGTTCCCAAGAAGACCAGCGATACGAAACTTCTATATACATGTATTGCCTGCAGCGTCATCTATTATATTATAATAAAATTGTAATTAGAGTTAAAAACTTATATATTTTTCATTATGAAAAGAAACATTTCCGCATTACCGGCCCAGAACCCAATTATATTTTCAACATAAATGCTAACCGATGACCTAAACACCCTCCTTTTTCTTTCTTAAGTCTTTCATTTCTCCTATTGTGCAGTTAAATGAGTCCTCACAAATTGAAATTGAACAAGCTTTTAATTTAAGAATGCGGCATAGACAAACAATTGTTAACACAGGCCTACTTAATTTATAAAAACCAATAAAGATAAACACCAAGAATACATTTCAACGACAGAAATAAAGAGGCTCCATAAAAGCCTACATACGATTTTCTGCAACAGATAAAAATGACTTTCTCTGAAAATACATACTTATATAAATATATGGCCATGGAAGCACTTTTGTCTAAGTTTTTTTGTACATCAAATTACAAAGACAATTTCACGACTGCCACACCCTTCAAGCATCATACGAGCTCGTATGCTCAATCTTTTCGTATGCGCGGCTATACATAATAAGTGCTTAGATGCATCTTAACATACATTCATAAAAGCAAAAACACACGCATAGCTACAGAAGGAAACAATAAAATACATTGCTCTAACCCTAATTCTAATAAAACAAAATCGCATTATTTAAACCTGGAAACAAAATCTTAATTCATTGCCTACTTAATTTGTCCTTTCTATTTGTCCTTTTCATCTTTTACCTTTCAGATGTTAGCGAGTACGCTGGCGTTGCTTGTCAAGACTGTGGCTCTTGCACTTACCCAATCGAAGGCTTTTGCTGTGAATGTCCACTGGAGTGGGCAGGCGTGCTATGTCAAATGCTTGAGATGAATACGAGATCCACTACGCGACAACCAGCAATAATGATGACGCTGAAATGTGAGCTGAGGCGATATTTGATTTATTTATTGAATTTATTTATTTATTCTAAGGTAGTACAGTTTTTATTCAGCAGAGTGAACTGTTTCACTCGAATTGTTATCACTGGGCATACGAAACTAAATTAAATTAATTAGCAACTATAAAACTTCATCATATATAAATATATAGTGGGAGTAGTAATAAAATTTATTCAGTCTGCCTAAATACCTAATTATTAAATTTTTAAATGCTTCATGCTTCTTATGGTTAAAAATACCTATACATTTTTTTTTATGTTGTTTTTCAGGTCATAGCCGGAGGACTGACAGAAAATTGCACTGACTTCAACTTGTAATTTAATTAATTAATTTATTTTGCATAGTTTGCAAATAAATTTGGAAAGTATGATTTCATTTAATTTAGATGCATATATTTACAATAAAATGTGTCACTTCGGCTGGCACAAAGCTGTCTACATAATTTACTGTTAAATACATCTCCCTTGAAAATTTATTGAAAATAAATTTCATCAAAATAAATTACAGTAAATAGTGACGTTTTCGTTTGTTGTTTACTCATTGGGCCCTAAAGAGCTTTATTTATAGAAGGATATCGAATTTATTATTTAAATATAAGCCGAAATAAAATGAAAAGTATCTTAAGCTACCCAAAATTTGTTTGTTCTAAAATCACAAAAAATTTGTTTAGTGGATAAAAGTAATGAATGAACTCCCAAGTATTACTCTAAACTACTACCTAGCGCCAAATTGGACAATGTGGTTATTCAAATCACCAAACCGACGCTTTCGAAAGAGAGTAGTGGGCGAAACGTGAAATACGCAAGGTGTTAGAAAACTTAGAGTAGGCCAATATAAGTGACATTGGTACTTTGTGTTTGGATTGAAATTCGCACATATTATAGTAGTTAATAAACATTCAGAAATTTAAGAAAATGCATATAATATAGATGGAAATAGTTTTCAGGAAATGAACAAGAACAGCGAAATGCCACCAAATAGGAATTTGGCTTAGCAAAGCAGCTTGGAAATAATTGCAAATTGAGTTAAAATGATATGTAAAAAAAGTTACAAAAACGATAGACTTTCATTTCATTAAGTACAATATATTTATCGGAGTTCTTAATATATATAATAGTAGTTAGATATAATGTCTGAAAGCTGTACGCGCATATCTGGATTAGCATCCAATTTCGACCTGAATTTGTTTTTTGTATAAGTGTAAGCTGAGTACATTATGACAGAAAGAAGCAAAATTAAGATTACCTCTTTAGCGACTTCATGATATATACCCTTAACACTAAAATAAAACTGTTTCAAAAGACAGAGACTCAAATGTGTGTTTCAATGTCGGAGTACTCTGTAGATCTATGAATGAATCGTAAATGGATTTTGTACAAAACCAATATTACTACTACCATCCGAAAAGTAATCTAACAAAGATTTCAGGTGATTTACCAAATGTCCAGTTATGACATTTCACACTTCATTTGGCAATTCATTTCGTTCCATGTAGAAAGTTGTCTATAACCCTTTGGCTACAGCGACCAACAACACTTACCGGTTAGAAAAAAAAACAAGCTTGCAAGCGCAAGCTCAACGCATTTATGTAGGTATGGCACTCAGTACGGTAATCATACCAACTACGAGTACATAATTATGTATGTATACTTGATAATACATAATTGCGGCTCGGTCAAGGTGTTTGTAGATTTTTTCTTTCTATGTGCAATTCAAATCGAAGGCCGTGCTTATTCATACCAAAATTAATTTCGCACAACCCCGGTGGTTTTTCTATGGAACCCACTTTTGGAAGCTCTGCATTATATTACTCTAGAGTAAAACTATTTTTTTTGTATTTTTGTTTCAGAGCGTATTCACTACATTACAAGTTTAAAATTTTTCGACGGATCGCTAAAGGTCTTCCTTGAGCCAAAATTCAAGCTGAATTCTATTACTAGAGCTACCAAAAGAGATATGAAAAAAAACAATTTCTTTGTAATTTGTTGAAAATTGCAAGTTTTTCTAACGTTGTTTTTTCCATTGCGATGGCTGAGTGGAAGATCGACCCATCTCGGCTGCTGGTTCGAAACGAAATGGCTCAAGAATGACTCTTTCAGAATTTTGTTGGTTCAAAGCTTCCTAAGTATACCCCAAAAATATCTGTAAATAATTTCGAATTTCGGTTCGAAAATAAGTTTTAGAGGAAAGCGGATTCGAAGATTAGTTTTCCAAACTTAGAGAAAAAAAAAATTAACTCAGATCTTTGGATCATGCATTTTTTGAACCGACTTCAAAAAAAGAGAAGGTTATCAATTCGTCGAAATACGTTTCTTCTATATGTATTTTACCGCATAACTTTGGACCACGTCAACCGATTTCGATAATCCATTTTTTTATCGGAAAAATAGTATCTCACAGGTGGTGCCGTACTAATTTCGTTTAGATGCTATCATTGGATCATGAAAAAATTTACGGTATTTCTAAATTTGTATATAAGACTGGAAGTCGGTTGTGGTTTGTGCTTAAAAATTACTGTTTTTTTCTCGAGAACACGATCTAGTAAAACTGAGTATGGGCAAAGTTTTTACTCTACTCTACGACTCTACTTTTCTTTTTATTTTCATTTTTGTTCCACAGTGAAATACTTCCTAAGACATTCCAAAGAAGTCACTTTTGCTGTAGCTGCAAACGCTGCTGGCGTGGCTCGTCGAACACACTGTTTTGTATTGTATTAGATCATTCCACCCAAGCAAGATCTCCTTTCTTTCCTTCACCGATTTTCATCACTTTCTTTGTGCATTTACTCAAATTACCTATCCACCAACACCTCAGACAAACACAGCTCAAATGAAGATCTATATAGTAGTGTAGTGATAAAATTTTTGATGTTGATGGCATGAAGCTCAGCATGTGGTTAATAAGCATCCAAAAAAATGGACAATACTTGGGCAAGTATTTAGATAAAACATTTTAAACACTTCCATTTCTTAATTTTACACTTACCAGTAGTTATCTGCTGGTTTTTCTTCATTATGCTTTTATTCGTTTGCGTATTGTATTCAAAGTTTCTTGAACAAATTAAGCCAGATTAACTCACATAATTGAGTTTTTTGTTCTTCTCTTTCTTGATTGGCGCTGTAACCGCCTAAGCGATTTTGGCCAAGTCCAATAAAGCACGCCAGTAATTTCTCTTCTAGAAATGCCACATGCTTCTTCACGAGCATTGCGCAGTGCGTTGAATACTTTCAGAGCTGGTGCTTTTCTGTCCATTCCTGCGACTTGACTAAGCCAGCGAAGTTCGTTAATTTTCCGCAGAATCTTTCTTTCGAGAAATCCAAGACCAGCATCATCAGCTGTTCTTATTATCTATGCTTCTGCTCCTTAAATGACATGGGTGCTGAGACGTTTAGAGAAAATTCTGTAAAATTAAAACAAAAGACGAAAAGAATTTGAAAATGTCCTTTTAGATTTTATCCTTGAATACCCTTGAAAATTTTTAGTATTAGTTTTTGAGACAAAATAAATGCTAGAGATTACTATATAAACGACCATATTCTTGAATTTCGTCCTTCTAACTTTATTGGCTTAAAAAAGTGAAATTTATGTACAGGGAACAAAAATGTAAATTTTTCAAATTCTATAGAATTTTCTTTTGATTGGGTACTCATATTGTTATTTTATATTTCACTTAACTTTTTAAACAAGTTTTGTAATTAATCATATCTTTGAAATTACGAAGTCCTTTAAAAAAATCCTGACGTCCGAAAGAAAAACTAAAAACGCTGTTTTACCACATTTGGCGCAACGTTTTGTTAATGTATTGTTTTGTGTCGCATGGTGTTACCTAACAAAAACTACACATTTATTTAAATCCAAAAAATTTAAAATTTAAATTTTGTTCAAAATTTATAAAAATTCTGCAAAATTTCATCTGAATTGCAAATATTTTATAAGAATTTTTAGAAAAAAAATGTGTATGCATGCAGTTTTATAGCCCATTAGAGTGCAAGTTAGAAGACCGTGCTGATTTTTTGTTTTGTTGAGTGTCACGCATTTACTTCTTTAATGCCACCACAAATACGCTTTCCCATTCTTATGTCACACACATTTAACATCGACGATGTGTGAATTTGTAGCAAATTCGGGCAACTTCTGCGAGCACAGTAAGTAAAAAAAAAAAAACATTATTAAGCATAAAACAGCTAAATTTGCAATTAAAATGTAAGAAAAGACCAAACCACATCTTGGTGAACGCGTTGAGGGGAACAAAAGATTTAAGCAAGAAACCTGCACGTAGATGCGCCTTTTATATTTTGTATGTATTTGTACTTTTATGCGAAATCGTACTTTTCAAACTAGAGTCATCATAACTAACTGCCCAAGCAAATACAACCATAGAATAAGACTTGATTCAAATATAAACAAAAAAAAAAAGATTTATACGAGCGAATAAATAATCTTCAATACTTTCCCACCGTTTAAATAGAATAAAGTTTTAAATTGAAAAGTGAGTAGTCATTTATTAATCGACTTCCAAAAAAGGAGGAGGTTATCAGTTCGTCGGAATATTTTTTTTTTTTTTTTTTTTTTTATGTATGTTACCGCATAACTTTGGACCACGTCAACCGATTTCGATAATTCAGCGGAAAGGTAGTGTCTCAGAGGTGGTCCCATACTAATCTGGTTAAGATCCGATCAGCGGATCATGAGATATATATATATATATATTTTTTTTTTATATGAGAGTTGAAGTCGGTTTTTTTTTTTTCTAAAAATTTTAAGTGTATATACATATGTATGTAGTAGTAAATTCATAGCTGTAGGAAAAGTAAATTCATACGAAAGGTTTAAATGTATTTTTAGAATTTTATGCCACAACAGAAATGGAAGAGAGATAAATGGGTTAGGTTACACTGAGGGGACAAAATATTAAAATCAATCAGAAACGTAATTGGTACTACTACTCTGATGATTGCTTACTCTGTTTATCTGCAGGAGATTCCCAATAATAATACCCAATTGTTTATTTAACCAATTTTTCATCGCAACTTTAATTTAAAAGTCCGCCAAAAACCCACAAAAATACCGAAAAATACAATGGGGAGACAAAAAAATTCTTTAGCATTAAAAAATGGTTAAATAAACAATTGGGTATTACCACTGAAAGTTTTCGGAAGCGAACCAGAGTTTTCTGGTCGAAAAATATTGATTTTCAAGAATTCTATACCATTTCTACTAAAATTTCTAAAAATACATGGAAAACTTTAAGCGCTCTGAGTGACCTCCAAATATTTTTTGATTTCAAAATAATAATAAACATATATATTCAGATATAGATATATAGATATAGTTGTATTCGACTTAACAGCTACATTAATTGTTTCTGTTCACTTCTCATCAGAATATGAGAAAGCCAAGGACCAAGGCCCTACTAAGCACTTATAGTCACTCGCATACGGCG